GACCAATCAATCTCCCAGCTTAGTTCCCTGGTGACCAAAAGGCCCAGAAACAATGACTGGAAGATTGCTCGTAAAATCTTCACTGAAGATAAAATTAAATGGGCGATCAACTCATTTTCTCCTTTCAAAGCACCTGGAGCAGACGGAATATTTCCAGCACTCCTACAAAAGGGACTAACTGACCTTATGCCCTACCTCATTAATATCTTTAGAGCTGGGCTGGCGATGGGAATCATTCCCACTAATTGGAAGGAAGCAATTGTCAAATACATACCTAAAGGAGGAGGTAAACCTAGCGAACTTCCTAAATCCCATAGGCCTATAAGTTTGACTACATTTCTTTTAAAAACTATGGAGAAGATAGTGGAAAGGCATATAAGGGAAGAGTATTTATCTATAAATCCACTCCACGCCAACCAATACGCCTACCAACAAAATAAATCCACCACACATGCATTACTCAGTCTTACTAATAAAATACAGGAGTCTGTAGATTGCAAAGAATATGCGGTGGGATGCTTTCTTGATATTGAGGGAGCGTTTGATAATACTGATCACTCACATATCGAAAGATGCCTCCATGACAGAGGAGTAGATGATACGACACGCACATGGATAAGCAATGTACTAAGAAATAGAATGGTTAAATCCACTCTCGGCAATGCCGAAATAAAAGCACATACTGTAAAAGGATGCCCACAAGGGGGTGTATTATCCCCACTCCTGTGGTCAATTGCAGTAGACGAGCTCTTGCATCGACTCAGTGCCAAACATTTCGAGGCACAAGGCTATGCTGACGATATAGTCATACTTGTCAGGGGTAAATATGAAGACATGATCTCATATCGACTCCAACAAGCCCTGAACATCGTTAGTAGATGGTGCAGTGAAGTAGGATTAAATGTAAATCCTAAGAAAACAAGTCTGGTAGTCTTCACAAAGAAAAGGAAAAGAGTACTTTCCAATTACCCATTCCTAAATGGAGAAGAGCTATCATCCGTTACCCAAGTAAAATACCTGGGAATGATTCTAGATAAGAAGTTAACGTGGAATTCTCATATAGACAATGTCATACGAAGAGCCAGAGAGGCATTATGGACCAGCAGAAACCTCATTGGTAAGCACTGGGGCCTTAATCCAAAACTCAGCCTTTGGATGTACACATCTATTGCCAGACCAATTGTAACTTATGGGTCAGCTATCTGGTACAAAAAAACACAACAGAAGACTGTAATAGATAAACTTCGTAAGCTGCAGAGATTAGCCTGCATAATGACAAGTGGAGCGATGAGAACTACCCCGACAGCAGCCCTAGAGGTTGCATTGGGGCTCCCCCCACTTCACCTACTAGTCAAAAAGGAAGCAATGACTTTTATGGCCAAGCTACAGTTGACTAGCAATCAATCAACAAGACTACTCGATAACTCCCTGTTAGGTAGGGAAATGCAAAGAGAGGAAGGACTAAATATCACCATATCTGACATTTGCTTACCTAAATTCAACTTTCACCAAAAGTTCCTAATACTAATACCAGACAGAAATGAATGGGAACGGAACATACCTCCATTCGCTGGAGACTACCATCTGTGGTACACGGATGGCTCCAAAACGATGGAAGGAGTGGGGGCGGGAGTATATGGAGTAAGACCTAAAGAGGAAATATTTGCGAGTATGAGTAAAGAAAACTCAGTTTTTCAGGCTGAAGTACACGCAATTGAATTATGTCTCAGGGTATATAAAGGTAAACCCGTCACGGGAAAAAACATATATATCTTTTCTGACAGTAAATCGGCACTCCTGGCACTACGCTCACCTCGAGTAACCTCAAAAATAGTGTGGGAATGCCTTCTACTTCTCAAAGACCTTGCTGAAAAGAACAGAGTCCACTTAATATGGATTCCAGGGCACAGCGGTTTTGAGGGAAACGAAAAAGCAGATGAACTAGCGAGAAAAGGGGCGGCCTCATACTATATTGGGCCACAACCATTCTGCGGTCCTTCGTGGAGCTTTTTCAAACTTAAAACTAATGAATGGTTGGAAAAAGCAGCTCAGAATGATTGGGATAATACAATTACCTGCAGACAAGCAAAAGAATCCATGCCGTTTCGATCAAAAGCCAGAACTAGGGAGCTACTTATGCTGAACAGAAGTGGCATCCGACTTGTCACAGGTTTTTTAACTGGACACTGCGGAGTTAAAAAACATTTATTGAATCTAGGTAACGAGAGATAGCTGAGACCCGTGTACGAAGAGAAGGAAACCAGAGAACACATAATTGTTCACGTGGAGAGCGTGCAAGACCATGTTTCGCTATTATCCATTTGCCTAGCCGCTTATTAACGGAGTAGGGCAAATCTCTCCAAAGAACAATCGCATTCTTAACTGCACTCGCTATGGAACGAAGTGGGATCACAGATAACCTCTCGAAGATGCAGTGACGCGGAGACTACTTCCCAACCCTTCTTGAGAAAAAAAAAAAAAAAAAAAAATACACACACTAAGATAATGAGAATTTATATAGAAATGTTTAGCACGCATTTATGTCCTATTGGACAAGTACAGTTCCTAGTTTACGAATAAATCGTTTTTCATCCTTAACTTGAAAGTCAGGTGGTGCACATTAAGAACCTAGTCCGAATGCAAATGTAGTTTAGTTCTCAAGAATATTGGCTTCTTTGCATATATAACAACTAACTGTTAAGCATGTGGTTATATCCTATTTAAATTGAGTAACAACAGTTCTTGGCACATGAAAAAGTGTCTATCATCCGTAACAATTGTAGGTGCTGCGCATTAAGAACCATATTTCAATGTAAACATAGACCTGTCCTTATTACGGTTGGCTCCTTTGCATAAATTACAAGTGACTGTTTAGCATGGGGCTATATCATATCATCAGTTAGACTAAAATAGTCTTGGCGTACTTAGAAGCGTATACCATACATTAGGAACCTTATTTCACAATAAACTAAGACTAGTCCTTACTAAAGTTCCATTCATTGTCTTAGGCGTTATTGTACACCTTGCTCGTCCTCAAGATGCATCTTATATTTCGTATACAAAAAATTTGGCATATGCCTTGCCGCTGGTTAAAAAGTTGACCTGACTTTTGACATTACTGGATATTTTTTCAGTGTGTCCCGTAGAACTGCGGGTCAACATTAAAGTTTCATTGGCCAAAATGAAGTTTTGTTTATTTTTGCCCTAAGAATAGTTTGCGAGAACTTTTTCAAATTGTTGCAAATCTTCGAAAGATAGCTTGGCATTGGCGAAAGATGTTAGCATATAGTTGAGGTGTTAATAGTATTTGAAATAAGTAGTTCCTTACATGAGAACCATAAGAATCGTATATAAAAAATTTTTTTTCATCAGTTATTAACAGTTATTAGTTGCTAAAGAAGTATTTTTTATTAAGTTGAACGTTTAATTGGTAGGTGTAATTCATATTAGGTATATATGTATGTATATACATACATATATAAATATAATTTATATAAAAAGTTTTATATAGTTTTCAGATAATAGAGTGGATCAATTAATTTAAGAAAACTGATAAAATAATAAATTGCTAATTATCCAACATAATAGCAATAAAGATATTACTTAGCACCATCAACATAACACTACTACTTATGTAGATCTGTTCGTTATTACAGATAACATAAGAAAAACTACTTAGAGGTATATATGGCTTCAGATCTAGTAGTCGTAGTGCGAGGGGATTGTTTGGTAATAAGAAGAAATTAAGGGATGAGTGAGATTTAAATTGAAGTCAACCACGATCAAGGCGGAGAAACCTAGCCACTTTTATGGTCGTGGCCAAAGACCAATTGGACTCAAGTTTGTGTGTACATTGGTGCAGGTAAGCATATAGGCAACATCACGCTGTGTAGAGTGGCAGTTAGAACGCACATTGGCAGTTGAAGTATTTATGCATGACAAATAAATATTTACCATAAAACATGGCTATATTCTGATCTCAATTGAGCTACGAAAGTTCTTGCTGCATGAGAAAGGCGTCGTTAATCCTGGGAGATAGTAGGTTTCAACACACTTTGTTGTCAATTGAGAAATTTATCACAGTATAATCTAAGCTGCGAAGAAGATACTGCATCTGCGTCGATGGCTGTTAGTCCATGTTTATATTTGACCTCACTGTTATTTTTTACTAGAAGTGCTTAGTTTACAAATGGTGGGAATTTGGTAACGGTTTTATGGTATTATATATTATATATTAAATTAATATTATGTAAAATTGTTATTATTTCAGTAAACTAATACAGAAAGACTGCTTAAGTTTCTTTTATACCATACTTATTTCTATCACAACTATAACTTTTCATTGTGTTCTATACAATGTATTCTAAATATTGCTATAATTATAATAAAGAACACATTTATTTTAATTTCATTTATTACTATTTTTCTTAAAATATTTAAATGAGCCTCAACTAGATTCGAACCAGTGTTTCTCATGTATATAACAAACATACATATATTTCACAAACGCATAAAATAGGTTTGCTTAGTAACTATAAAGGCATACACAAACAGGGATGTTAGCGTTAAGAACATTTAAAATTAAAACTTTATAACAAAAACGTTACATTTTAATTATTTTTAAATAAAAGTTATAAAACAGAAAATACAATTCTATTAAATTACAAAGTGGAATCTAAATTTAAGAAAAAACATTATTGATAATTGAAAAATCCCTTATAAAAAGCACAACAAACAAAAACGTAATAATATAAACATAAAATTTATAATTGACCTATATACAATTCTATACATAATTAAGAAAATCATGTATTTTCTTTTAGTTAATGTATTTAATATTAAATATTTAATACTAATATTTAATATTAATAATAACTTAACTAATAATATAATATTTATATAATATTAATATTTAATTTATTATTAATATTTAATATTAATATATATTAAATATATAATATTAAATATATAATTTTTTACGAAATGTATTATATCAAATTTACACAATTTTTTTATCTTCAATAACTCAGGCTTGGCCTCTTAATAAAGATGTTTTAATCAAACGATCGATTAGTGTATTGTGACTGATTTAATCAGTGATTTTGATTAGTTCAGTTACTACGCTTTTTTCGCAAACGTTAGTCCTGTTGCGTATCCTCTAAATTAATAAAAACATTACGCATTTTCTCTAAATCTGGTGGCGCTGTATCTGGATTACGTATCCATATGCTATAAGCACGTTTATCGGTCTGTGTTAGTGGTTTAAAGTTTCTTGAATCTAGTGTTGCATCGCCTGCCAATTTGGAATTAAAGCGCGCATAAAGGAATATACGATAACGCCAATTGTCAAAGGTCTGAAAAGTGAAAAATTCTGGTTGAGAAATTGTGGTATGAAGGTGAATGATTTCTAAGTTACCTGCTTCCATTCTGCTACATGTTTTACAGCACCTTGCGGCACTGAATTTAATATATCCGCTAATTTTATCCAAAAAGGATCAAGGTAAGGATCATTTCTACGACGATCATTAATGATAGGATTTTGTTCCAAAAAATTGACGTAGACCTCCTTTTGTTTCTTTGACATACGTTCTTTGCGTTCTGAAATTTATTATAATTTATTTAGTTTAAATTAAATAAATTTTTTTATGTATGTATTTAAAATTTGTATTTAAAGATTTAAAATAAAATTATATATTATTTCTCTTCTTTTAGATTTATAAAAATCAAAAAAACTTACGCCTTAAATTATTCGTCGATGTTTCCTGCATGAGTGCTTCAACTTGTTGCTGATGTTGCTGTTGTTGTTGTTGTTGCTGGTGCTGATGCATTAAGTACTCATTCCAGCGTTCGAATTCATGGTGTTGTTGTTGTTGCTGGTGCAATTGCTGTTGCTCCTCATCAGTTATGCCAGCATACGATTTGGAGGATGGCTGTGAGTCTTCGGCGTCATCAATATCGGTAGGTGGTGGCAGTCCTGTGGCAAAATTGAATTTCGATTCGTCTACCAAATGATCAGCGTCTGTGGTGTGATTCGGCGTTGTTATAACAGTGGGATTATGTGAATGTGTTGCACGTAATTTCAAAGGCGGCGGCTGTTCATCTGCACTTTCTGCATTTTCGGAGTTCTGTGAATTTATGGCACTTAAATTGGTCATTTGACTGAGATGGCTGGATATATTCGTAGTCTCTTGTATATCTAAAGGTTTTTTGGTAGCACAATGGCAAATATTGCAGGTCAATTCTGGTGGATATGTATCTTTATTAGGTTCAAAAACTAGTAAGAGAAAATCAAAAACAATAGAGTTAAAAAAATTTAAATTTTAATTGTAAATAATATATAAAAACAAAAACAAACAAATTAATATTTTTTTCTTGCTAATTGAACACATTAAAAGTTAATATTTAATTTTATAAATTTAAGTTAAATACTTTATTTAATATTTGCTTATTACAAAACTATACATTTAACTTATGTATAATAAAATATTTTGATTTTAAATAATTATTAAAACTAGAAAACAAGTGTGTTAAGTGTAAATGCTTTAATTGATCAATAGTCGTAATCCGTTTGGGTATCATCCATATTCGGAAACATTTCCATTTTTTCATAATCACGTGGTATTGTGCCTTTGTTGCTGGTCCAAAGCGCATATGCACGATGGTCGGTATCAGTTAGTGGTTTAAAATTTTTTGGATTTTTAGCTGCTTCGCCGGTTACTTTTGAATTGGTTCTTATGTACATGAAAACACGGTAACGCCACGCGTCGAAAGTCTAAAATAGTTAAAAATTTATAATTATTTAAAATCCTTTATAATATTAAAAATACAAATATCCAATTATTGTAATATAAATATATAGTTATTCCATTAAATTAACACCAAGAGGTTTCGAAACACATAGACGAGGTTTACTATTCGGATCTACTTTAATAGTCTAAAATATTTCTACAACTAACAAGATGATATATTGTTACATTACATTGTTACATTAATAATACTAAAAGAGGAACGTGTTTTGATCTAGAGACAGTTTCAGAAACTGATAGCTAGAACCTACATAGGGGTAGGTAAATAGCTTCTATAATATGGTACTTATATTTAATCATAAAAGAACTGCTAGAATGTAATAGATTCTTATAAAAAATTGTGACCCGGAAAAATATAGATCTTTATTGTAACTATATGGCAACAACATATCTTGCTAAAATGTACAATTAAAATATATTTATAAACCTATATATCTATTTAAAAAAATCTATTCATACAAATTTTAGAGCAAGTCATAGTTATACCAAATATGAAATTGTTGTTGTTGGTCACAGTAGTTGTTACAACCCGTGGAGATCTATAGAGCAGATAACATAAAAGGAATTACAAATACGTATACATGTGTTAGGATGTGGTTAGGTAAAGATACTGTGAGAGGAATGAGGACATAATTTGCTTCACTAGGAGTTATTTATAAAATAAGTTGAAAATTGTTGTTGCTGCAATTCACTACTTTCAAAACTTCCATTGAAAATAATAGTTTATATTAGGAATTAAGTTTATTTCATTGAAACGGACATTTTTTGATAAAAATCAATTTAAGATAACATAAGTTAAATAAATCAAGTGTATTGACTGGCATAGTTCTGTTGAGATAGTTCAAATACACACACTAAATTGAACTGTACCGATTTATGACTCTGTTCCATTGAAGTTGTCAGATTCTCTTACCTCGACCCGAGCTTAATTCAATTAACACTTACCCAAACCTAATTCCTTCTCTTTTTCTTTTACAACACCTGTTCTTTCTCTTTGTTTATATTACAACCCATGTATAAACAATGTATTCGTCATGATATTCTTTTATTTTTCCTGCCTTATATGCCCTCGCGGGTAACAACAACACCATAAAACGTTCAAAATATTTTAAATATGGAAAGATTGTGTCTGCCTATTTCCAAGCTTCAACTGGTCTATGCATATTTAAAATATGTGAAAAAATTTTAGAAAATTCTGAGTAACACAATGGGCCAATAGGCTCAACTGGATCCACTAGGAATCGCCGGTATAACTTTACCTAATCTAATTGAGGTTTGCAGAGTGAACTATTTACGTACTTAAATCTCTAACGAGAAAGACTTTTTAGCTCATATAACTTAAATTTTAACAACTATTCTAACAAAGGTTAGACTCATCGTGTATTATTTGGATATGCTTAAAGAGCTTTCACATACAAATTGAGATAGCTAAGCAATAAAACTATTTATAAAATGATAATTATATTCATCTCACTATGTGTCAAATATATGATATTAAGATATTAGCAATATTTTTTGATTCCGAAAACTTGATCTCAACTCTAATAAATATGAGATTATTGTATTGTATTTAAAACCGATTTCATAAGATCCCATACTTTTAAATTACGTTTCACTATAAGTAAGCTTTAATCATTGAACTTCATATCAAAGTTTAATATATATCCGGATATATTCAGATATTAACCGCATAAAGAAACTAATCAGATAGTCTCTTATTAGTAGTATCACTCATATCCTCTTAAAAAGACAAGTATCACCAAAGGATGATTTCGAATGATTGACAAAGCAATAAAATTAATAATAACACAAATAATAGTTAAGGATAAGAATAAAAATGTGAAGAAGTTTCATTGTGGTGAAACGTGTAAGGTTGCGGATATTAAATTTTAGAGAATGAAGATGGAAATATGAAAATACGGTTGCTTAATAATTCTTTTTTCAAGTTGATGACTTTTCTCACTTTTAAATATAATAAAATAACCTATTTTTAAGTTTTAAGATATGAGATTAAGATGGAAAGAAATTCATAGAACTATCTGGAAGAAAAGAATCTTAAAGTAATCAAACACGAAAATGTGCAAATACATTAATATTACACATATGTGTTTGAAACTTAAAACTTCATTTCTTTGAATATTCATAACTTAATGAATTATCACACAATCTTACATCATCAATTGTTTTGTATAAAACTCACCTGACGCCATTCCTCAACATTCTTCACCGCTCCCTGTTGCACAGAATTCAGCATACTACACAATTTAACCCAATGTGCTTCTAGCCCAGAATCGTTTCGCCGCTGTGACAGCATGCAAGGATTATCGTCAATATATTTTACGTAAATTTCTTTCTGATCCTTTGACATACGTTCCCCCCGCCCTAGTAAAGAATTGAAGTTATTTAACATTCCATAGATCAATTTAAAAACTTACTTCTAAAACGGCTAACAGGTGGAGTCCCAAAAGCTGGCGAATGTTCGGAATTTAATTGCTCATTTATTGGACCATAATTTGAATAATATGGGTTGCTTGGCATGGATAAGTGTTGCTGTTGTGTATGTTGTTGCTGCGGAGATTGGGTTAACAGCGGCAAGTTCATATGTGGCATTTCTGAACGGTGTATTGCATTCAGGTTTTGTTGAGTGTAATTTTGACTCATAATTTCTTCTTTCACATCAAAAGACATTTCATGTTTAACATTCTCTGGATTCTCAACTTTATCCATAACATCCATAGGATCGATTGATTGGGTTAAGGACTCTGGTGTATGTGCTGTATAGGCATGGGATATACGGATTTTGTTTTGCGGTTCATTAGGACTATTTCCTTGCAAAGGAGATTTTAAAGCTTCATTAACCATGATATACTTTTTCGGAGTTTCATTTATTACACTGTCGTTAGATTTTTGCGGTACTGGTATATTCAATTTTTGGGAACAAGATGGTTCAAAACATACATTCTCATTCTTAGTCAATTCATCGCCAACTGTAAGGAGTAGCGTTTTAAACAAGTTTTGTTTTAATTAAAATAATAATATAAGAACTTACAAGGATCAAATTGTGCAATTAACTTCAAATCCAAATAATTTAACTATTTTATGTAAATAACAACAACAAAATGTATAACATTTTAGCGCTTTTATACATATATGAGCGGAAGGTTAATATCACGAAATATGGAGTATTAGGCATACATAACGCTAATACTTCAAAACGGATACACGCATGTAAGGGGACATGGATTCAGTATTTATTAAAATATAACTACTTATTTGATATATGTAGAAAAGGATGTGCTATTCTAAGCTACTTACAGCTACGTATGTTGTGATTTAATTTAAACTTACCCTGTCCTACTTCTATAACGAAATTGGTCAGGTCATGACGCTGCGCCAAGTAGTTGAGCAACAGTTCGTCTGGTATGATGAATCCAATCTTCTTATTGCGGAACTCGAAATTATAAACCCCGAATGCCGCTCGCACTGTAATTAATTAAAAAATCTTTTAATGTTTTTTTTACTTGAAGAAAGTAAAATACAATAACAACTTCAAAACACCGCCACCACCGCCGCCACAATCGCTTTAACTTCAGCCACACATTGTGCCGTTTTAAGAGTGCACACATAAACACACACACTCACTCACACAAAAGTACAAGTGCGTGCAATTGGCGGTTGAAATGTTCTTATATTATTACATTTCAACACATTTTGTTTATTTCCGATTCGAAAAATGTTTGCTATTATTAAGTTAAACTTACCAACATTTTTTAAATCCCAAATGCTTAAATTTCGATTTTCCTCAGGTACACCGATCATTAAAAGTTTTTTATTGTCGCGGAACTGAAAGGGAATAATGCAGCCTGAACGGAGTACCATTTTTGTTTTTATCTCGAATTTTTTGTTTATTTACACTTTATAATTGAGTGGAGACAATATATTTTAATCGACTTTCTAGAGAACTTCTATTTTAATATTTTTCTAATTTCTTTTTATGTATTCTATTATAATTCATTTCGCTTAATGTCTTTTACATTTTTCCTCTTTTCGTTGTAGAAGAAATGTAGTACGTGATAATTTGACAGTTCGCTGTTTGTTTACGAATGTAACCATGAAATGCGCGTAAGAATAAAGTATGTTAGGGTTGTTGTGCAGTTGTGTTGTATGCACAAGAAAAGGTAGTATTTGAAACGTATTAGAGGTATAATGTGTACATTGCGTGTTTGAAGATATTTTGGTTTTTCTTCTTATTTATCCATTTATTTTATTACATTCTGTCAGGTATGAATGACAATAAGTAAAATTTATTAATATGAACCGTAATAATAATTATTACGATCTGAGAAAAGATCGGCACGCGTGGACTATACCCAGTCACATATCCACATACACTTAAAATAGAAATGTGTGACCTACATATGTACACAAATCAAAGTCTCTCGACGTTTTTCTTCTTAACTTTGTTGAAATGTTGGAGGAGGGCATCAACCAGCGAGTTTGGTTGCACATATGTATATGTGATGAGCGTGATTCTTCATATTACGAGACATTTCTTGCTTGATTGCCGAAACACATAATTGTTTATGCAGCTGTTCATTCGTTATATACCAAGTTACCAATTTGTGATCATTCGTAATGTTGTAGATTGTCTGAATCTGTTGCAGTACCCCATAATTGAGACCCATAACTCCACTTAGGTTTTACTGCAGTTTTGTATATAAGCCGCTTATTGTCGACAGTTTGTGACAGTTTGGAATTTGGGCTAAGAAAGCAAAATAAGTTTCGCAATTTGAGACCAAAAGCTTTACGCTTGGGTCTTTGAATATGTGTGGTTTCCAGGTTAGTTTACTATCCAGATGTATGCCCAAATATTTTGTTTCTACAGCTTGTGGTAATTGAGTATTGTTTATTAAAACAGGCAGGCACGTAGAACGTTTTGTAGTAAGTGTTACCTGGACAGTTTTTTATTCATTTGGTTGATAGGACAATTTTTCATCCAGAGGGCGACATTGTTAAGGCAGGGTTGTAGTTTGGTGGAAGTACGGATTGGGTTACTGTCAACTTATAAAATAGCTGTGTCGTCTGCAAATGTACTGTTTACACTCTCATCGATAAGGGGAAGATCCGCAGTATATAAAAGATAAGGCATTGGTCCCATTATGCTACTTTGAAGTACTCCTGCTCCTATATCATGAAGTATTGTAGTTTCATTTCTATGGTTAATGAAAAAATGCCTTGCCGAGAGGTATGATTTAATAAATATGAAAAAATGTTGGGGGTAGATTTAGTTTTAGTTTGAATAGATCCTCATGCCCTTCAGACTCGATCATCTATTGCACTATAGATATGTCTGATATTAAATAGAAAGTATTCGATACCCAATTTCATTATAAAATAATGATAAACGATTGAATTTAACAGTGCAGGGTCTGTGTTTCAGAGCAACACATCGAGTTCGACGATCAAGTACCATTTGCCATATGCCAAAGGGACTGCATAAACAGATCCCTACCGGTTGCAACAACAACAATAATTTTTTAATATATTTAATAACGGTTAGTAATGTTCGTTCTTTAATAAACAAAATGCAATTTAAATTTAATATTTTGATTTTTATTTTAAAAAAATAAACAGTTAAAAAATAATTATGATATTTAGTAATCTTGCTTATACATAGTTTGATATCTATAACGTATCAATATATATTTTTAATTAAAAAAGGCAAAAATTATTATAGAAATAAAGTAATTTTTGTAGCTTAAATTAATACTTATTTTATCATTTTTTTATCACTTTGATATAATACAACTTTTTAGTTTAAACTGTGGTTAACGAGCTTATAGACCCACACTTGGGAATTAGATGTGCCTTAGATGTTGTCTTTAAAACTTTCTAACAATTTTGTAGTTAAATTTTTAACCAGGTGCTCCATGGTTTGAAAAACCATCTACAAATATTTAAATGTTTATTAATGCAATTTTATGAGAATAATAAATAATTACCTCGGCTGTAAGTGTAAATGAAACACTATGTGGTGCTCTAAAGAAAGTGCCGCACACTACTCCGAAGATGATGAGTAAACTATAAACAAAAGAACAAATCTAATTAATGTACTATATATGGAGCTATGATAATAAAATTTTTAGAATTAAATTCAGTAAATGAATTTCATAACCTTTTTGGTTCATGCGTCCTTTTTTATTTAAACAATAACGAAAATGCATATTATACACGACATACCTACGCTTTCTTCAACTACCGTCTCTATATCGAGGCTCTTGTAGCTTTCCAGTAACATTTTTACTTTCTCAAAATATGGCCAATCAGATGGTATCCCCATTTTTTTTTCTTTTCTAAAATAAATTAATTAAATAGCTCCTTATTTATTTATTTGCCACTAAATTCATACCTACTTATATCTGTTCATCAAATTTCTAATTTTGTGTCGTATCTCCGCCGCATTAAAATCAAAATTATTTTGGCACATCACATCCGCTATTTCCACATACACATGACCATTCCTTTTCTGTCCACGTAGTTGTGGCAATTTTTTCTCCCACAACTCTAACAGGACTTGCTCCTCTTCTGTGTTCCAACGGGAGTGACGCTTCTTTCTAAAACATTCACTGTGAATATTTGAAAATATGTTAATACCTAATATTATTTTATGCAAATTATATATTACTCACCTGTTGGTTATCGTTGGGTTGTTGTGAATGTTACTGGGTTGGGTTATTGGGCTTCGTATGTGGTGGGTGCTTTTATTGTTGACTTTACCGAATTGTTTAAACACTTTTTAATAAAAAAAAAAATACAATAGTGTTATTAAATTCGAGTTCATTATATAAAATTATTATTTTAATTAATGGAAAGCTGTACACTACAAAAACGTTTCACTTTAAAAAATGCTTAATTGAACTGAAACTTATTCATAAGATCAACAAATCAAAGACATATAAACATTGAAGTTCAAGTTAATTAATGAATTTGGTTTAAATATTAATTCATTTCAAATGTGGATTAAATATTAATCCATTTGAAGTACGGATTAAATATTGATTAACTTCAAATGTGAATTAAAAGATGACGATTATTACGATTGTGTTAAGCGCGGTGCGGACTATCATTTTTGAGTGTCATTCAAGAGAGAAAAACTAATAATGACACTCACATAATGATAGTTGTTGCATTTGCGAAACACACCTACAGCGTGCGTAAACACACGTATTCTTCAAAAATTTTGCTTGAATGAAAACTCTTAAATGTTAGCACGTCCGGTCGCTAGAACAAATTGAAGCAAGTAAGAGCGCAACTTGAATGACATTTAAAAATAATAGCCTGCACCGCACTTTATAGCTTCAAATACCATAAATACATTTAACTTACTTTTAAAGCGCCTAGCAGTTATAACACCAGTAACTGGAGAATGTGTAGACCTTAATTGCTCATTTGTGGAATCATCTTGCGAATAATGTGGGTTTTTTTTAATGGCTAAAATTTGCTGCATTTTATGCTGATTATGTATGGTTTGGTTTGTTAATGACAAGTTTTGCTCAGAGTAATTTGTGCTTGGTATTTCTTCCTTCACTTTAAAATCCATTTCATTCTCAAAACAGACTGAATCCTCAACTTTATCCATAATATCGATTGATTGATCCATTGACCGTATGGGGGACTCTGACAAACGTGCTGTATATGCTTGAGATATACGTATTTTGTTCGGTGGCTCATTTAAATTGTTTCCTTGCCTTGGAGAACTCAAAGCTTCATTAACTATGACATATTCGTCGGTATACTCATTTGCTACACTATCGTCGGATTTTTGAGATAATTGAATGTTTAACTTTTGAGAGCATCGAGAGTCGAAACTTGCATTCTTATTCCTCATCGATTTATCTTTAACTGTGACGAGATGCATATTAAGAAAGTTTATATTAAGATAATAATCATAATAATTAAGATAACAAGTCGTGATCTAATTTAAACTTACCCTGTCCTACTTCTATAACGAAATTGGTCAGGTCATGACGCTGCGCCAAGTAGTTGAGCAACAGTTCGTCTGGTATGATGAATCCAATCTTCTTATTGCGGAACTCGAAATTATAAACCCCGAATGCCGCTCGCACTGTAATTAATTAAAAATGCTTTTAATATTTTTTTTTAGTTGAAGAAAGTAAAATACAATAACAATTTCAAAACACCGCCACCACCGCCGCCACAATCGCTTTAACTTCAGTCACACATTGTGCCGTTTTAAGAGTGCACACATAAACACACACACACACTCACACAAAAGTACAAGTGCGTGTAATTGGCGGTTGAAATGTTCTTATATTATTACATTTCAACACATTTTGTTTATTTTCGATTCGAAAAATGTTTGCTACCATTTCGTTAAACTTACCAACATTTTTTAAATCCCAAATGCTTAAATTTCGATTTTCCTCAGGTACACCGATCATCAAAAGTTTTTTATTGTCGCGGAACTGAAAGGGAATAATGCAGCCTGAACGGAGTACCATTTTTGTTTTTATCTCGAATTTTTTGTTTATTTACACTTTATAATTGAGTGGAGACAATATTTTTTAATCGACTTTCTAGAGAACTTCTAATTTAATATTTTTCTAATTTCTTTTTATGTATTCTATTATAATTCATTTCGCTTAATGTCTTTTACATTTTTCCTCTTTTCGTTGTAGAAGAAATGTAGTACGTGATAATTTGACAGTTCGCTGTTTGTTTACGAATGTAACCACGAAATGCGCGTAAGAATAAAGTGTGTTAGGGTGTTGTGCAGTTGTGTTGTATGCACAAGAAAAGGTAGTATTTAAAATGTATTAATGGTATAATGTGTACATTGAATGCGTGAAGGAACAGAATTAAAACTATTAATTAATTGGAAATTAATAGTAAATCATAATTATTGACGTTTATTGTTTTTATTTTGTTTTATTGTCATTTATTTCAAACTAAGGTTATAATAATAAAGAAATACATAATATTACGACATTTATCTGCTGCCATTTATCTACGTTTAATAATATCAATATTTGATATATTATATTCATGCGTTTAAATGGGTTGAATTTTTAACATTTGATCCGAAATTTTCAATTGCATTACCAATAGTCAGCTCTGTGAATGTTAATCATAAATTCATTAATTTTATAGAATGAAGAAAGAACACTCCTAAAAGTCAGTTCAATACTACAAATTACTGACGAATCTTTTGAATCAACTTATTGACTCAGAGAAATACTCTAAATGTGAAACTGAGAAATGCATCAATTTGATAAGAACAATTTCTACATATAATGCCGCTATAGCTGTAGTACAGCAAACAATTATCGGAATCTCTTTTGCTGAAATGGTACAGATCAGTTATGATAGTATTTAGAAATAACATATAATATTTTCAAACTTTTGTTTAGAAAATCTTGTTTTAAATTTTATATATCATATCAAAGTATTGCATGGTGACTGACATTTTTCATTAATTAAGTTTCACTTTTGTTTTGCACATATATTCCATATTTAACTAGATCATTTATATAGTTCGTTGTATTCCCATTGCTTCTTCTATTAAATGTCCAATTCATTGTTTATATATATTACCGCAATATAATTTACCAAACAAAAGACAAATTTAATAGGATCTTCAAAAAATATATATAGCATTCAATTTATCAGTCGTACAAGACGGAGATATAAATTTATCAACTTAAGAAGATATTTCTTTTATCATTTTCAAGTTACAAAATTAAAAAATATAAAAAATAACAAGTTTCGGTGCCTAAAAGTATCACGAGACGTATACTAACATGTCAATGGATGCATTAATCCTCAAATACAAGAATAATATTTATTTTATTTCATGTAACATATATGTAACACTGTAATCAAAAAATATGGTGAATCTTTTAAAATCTCTATTTATTCTTCTAAATCTACTCAATTGGCTTTAAAATACTTCACTTCTGATATGGTAAACTTCCTGATCTTAAAAGAAAGCATAGGAACCGATGTGCTTCCTTTTGAGGTGCATTTTAAATTCACTCGAACAGCTACCGTGACTCTCTCCAACAACAACCAACGAGACAGGGGGGGGGGGGCAAAAAAAAGGGGGATAAAAAGAAAGAGAGATCACTGTAGCTTCGAGTGAAATTTAAAAAAAATGCACCCTCAAAAGGAAGCACATCCGTTTCCTATGCTTTCTTTTAAGATCAGGAAGTTTATCGTATCAGGAGTGAAGTATTTTAAAGCCGATTGAGTAGATTTAGAAGAATAAATAGAGATTTTAAAAGATTCACCATATTTTTTGATTACATATATGTTACATGAAATAAAATAAATATTATTCTTGTATTTGAGGATTAATGCATCTATTGAGATGTTAGTATACGTCTCGATGTTAGTATACGCACCGAAACTTGTTATTTTTTTATATTTTTTAATTTTGTAACTTGAAAATGATAAAAGAAATATCTTCTTAAGTTGATAAATTTATGATGATGAGTTGTGCTCATCAGTGTATATCTCCGTCTTGTACGAGTGATAAAGTGAGTGCTATATATATTTTTGGAAAATCCTATTAAATGTGTCTTTTGTTTGGTAAATTATATTGCGGTAATATATATAAACAATGAATTGGACATTTAATAGAAGAAGCAATGGGAATACAACGAACAACGGAATATATGTGCAAAACAAAAATGAAAGTTAATTAATGAAAAATGTCAGTCACCATGCAATATTTTCATATGATATATAAAATTTAAAACAAGATTTTCTAAACAAAAGTTTGGAAATATTATATGTTATTTCTAAATACTATCATAACTGATCTGTACCATTTCAGCGAAAGAGATTCAGATAATTGTTTGCTGTACTACAGCTATAGCGGCATTATATATAAAAATTGTTCTTATCAAATTGATGAATTTCGCAGTTTCACATTTAGAGTATTTCTTTGAGTCAATAAGTTGATTCAAAAGATTCGTCAGTAATTTGTAGTATTGAACCGACTTTTAGGAGTGTTCTTTCTTCATTCTATAAAATTAATGAATTTATGATTAACATTCATAGAGCTTACTATTGGTAATGCAATTGAAAATTTCGGATCAAATATTAAAAATTCAACCCATTTAAACGCATGAATATAATATAGAAAATATTGATATTATTAAACGTAGATAAATGGCAGCAGATAAATGTCGTAATATTATGTATTTCTTTATTATTATAACCTTAGTTTGAAATAAATGACAATAAAACAAAATAAAAACAATAAACGTCAATAATTATGATTAACTATTAATTTCCAGTTAATTAATAGTTTTAATTCTGTTCCTTCACGCATTCAATGTACACATAATACCACCAATACGCTTCAAATACTACTTTTTCTTGAGCATACAACACAACTGCACAACACCCTAATATACTTTATTCTTACGCGCATTTCATGGTTACATTCGTAAACAAACAGCGAACTGTCAAATTATCACATACTACATTTCTTCTACAACGAAAAGAGGAAAAATGTAAAAGACATTAAGCGAAATGAATTATAATAGAATACATAAAAAGAAATTAGAAAAATATTAAAATAGAAGTTCTCTAGAAAGTCGATTAAAAAATATTGTCTCCACTCAATTATAAAGTGTAAATAAACAAAAAATTCGAGATAAAAACAAAAATGGTACTCCGTTCAGGCTGCATTATTCCCTTTCAGTTCCGCGACAATAAAAAACTTTTAATGATCGGTGTACCTGAGGAAAATCGAAATTTAAGCATTTGGGATTTAAAAAATGTTGGTAAGTTTAACTAAATAGTAGCAAACATGTTTCGAATCGAAAATAAACAAAATATGTTGAAATGTAATAATATAAGAACATTTCAACCGCCAATTGCACGCACTTGTACTTTTGTGTGAGTGTGTGTGTGTGTGTTTATGTGTGCACTCTTAAAACGGCACAATGTGTGGCTGAAGTTAAAGCGATTGTGGCGGCGGTGGTGGCGGTGTTTTGAAGTTGTTATTGTATTTTACTTTCTTCAAGTAAAAAAAATATTAAAAGCATTTTTAATTAATTACAGTGCGAGCGGCATTTGGGGTTTATAATTTCGAGTTCCGCAATAAGAAGATTGGATTCATCATACCAGACGAACTGTTGCTCAACTACTTGGCGCAACGTCATGACCTGACCAATTTCGTTATAGAAGTAGGACAGGGTAAGTTTAAATTAGATCACGACTTGTTATCTTAATTATTATGATTATTATCTTAATATAAACTTTCTTAATATGCATCTCGTTACAGTTAAAGATAAATCGATGAGGAATAAGAATGTAAGTTTCGACTCTCGATGCTCTCAAAAGTTAAATAATCAGTTATCTCAAAAGTCAGACGATAGTGTAGCAAATGAGTATACCGACGAATATGTCATAGTTAATGAAGCTTTGAGTTCTCCAAGGCAAGGAAACAATTCAAATGAGCCACCGAACAAAATACGTATATCTCAAGCATATACAGCACGTTTGTCAGAGTCCCCCATACGGTCAATGGATCAATCAATCGATATTATGGATAAAGTTGAGGATTCAGTCTGTTTTGAGAATGAAATGGATTTTAAATTAAAGGAAGAAATACCAAGCACAAATTACTCTGAGCAAAACTTGTCATTAACAAACCAAACCCTACATAATCAGCATAAAATGCAGCAACGTTTAGCCATTAAAAAAAACCCGCATTATTCGC